TGCCGTGGTATTGGTGGGTGGCCGTGTGGCCGTGTGGCCATGTGCATGCCAGTGGGGTATATGGATTACGAGGGGTAAGCGGTGGGAGTTATATGTCCCCCCTGCATTATCTGAGCAATAAGCCCTGTGGGCAGGGCCAGATTAACAAAGGGGCTGATGGAGCTGCAGCTCCAGGCCTATGCCCATGAAATAGGCCCATTGATTTAAAAAAAAAAAAAAAAGAAATGTAAAAAAGTTTTTCCTTTTTCTTTTTTAACACACACACTTCTCAGCCGGTATTTGAGATTGCCTAGCCGGTGCCGATATTGCAGTCACATTGGCAATACAAATGCTGGTATTTTTCTCAGTATAAACAGAGATTACGATGTAAAACCAGCACTGGCCAGTAGGGGTCACTGTGCGTGGAGAAAGGCAGGGATAGGAAGTTCCCGCATATCCCTCCCTGCCTATGTCTACTCACTGATATGCAGGGGAGCAACTACAGAGAGTCCAGACAGCAACTCTGAGCCTGGAGAGTCAGCCTACAGCTCAGGGAAGTGAGGGATGGGGGGGTGGGGCGGAGGAAGCTGCAAGGAGACATAGGGGCACTGGGATATATGGGGACACTCAGACATTAAGGGACATTGGGAGACATTTTGACACAGGCACTTCGGGACAATGTGTCTGTGTCCCCCATGTCTCCCAATGCCCCAAGTGTCTCAATGTCCCCATTTCTCTCTGTGTCCCCAGGTCTCCCAATGTCCCCTGTCTCAGTGTTCCGATGTCTGTGTTCCTAGTGACATGGAGACAAAAACACTAGGGGACACTAGAAGACATGAGATTACTGGGGGCCACAGGGAGACATGGGGACACTGGGTGACATAGAGACACAAGAGGACGCTGGGAGACATGGGGCATTGAGACACTGATACATAGGGACACTGTGATACTTGGGGATACTGGGAGACATAGGGACACTGTGAGACCTGGGGTTATCAACACATGGGGACACGGAGTCATGGGGGCATTGGGAGATTAGGGGACACTGGGCGACATGGGGACACTGGAAGACATGGGAACACTAATACATAGGGACAATGAGACAGTGGGAGACGTAAGACACTGGGGGACACTGGGAGCAATCCATCTATACAGCAGAATCAAACTGTAAGTAGTTTTTTGGTTATTTTACAGCATTTTCTCTTATGTCACTCCTTGTGATTTACATCATGTGATGTCACACATACATAATTAATTATGCAAATTAGTAAGGCAGGTATGTTTTACCTATTAAGGTGGCAACCCTAACTACTCTTCACATACTCTTGCTTAAATATGTGAACAAAACTTGTGTGGACTGGCTGATAATGAAATTCGTTAAGGTAATGCTGACTTTGGTCTCTCTAGCACTGTGGCATGTTTCCTTTCTTCTACACTCACTACATACAGCTTTTCTATGTACCAGACTATATACCACGAGATTCTGCCTGCTAGTAAGAAGGTAAGGAGAAAAGTGGACCAGCGAGTGATAGGGGACAGTCCTTAGAAAGTGTTGAGCGAGCGCATCATTAGACGCATTTATGCCAAGCTCAGGGTGCTGTCTGCATAGTATGCCCTTAGTTGGCCAGCTTGCGTGATTGGCAGGCAGCCTGACATGCCTTGATGACAGACTTGCCTTTTAATTCTTTGGCCAGACATGCCCACTTTTTGGGCACGTTCGCACCTTTTGGCAGGTTACGTGATTTGCGTCCATTGACTTCCTGCTTCACTGAACACTGCCGTTAGGGGTTATGGTTTTACTTGAAAGGTGAAAACATAAATTAAAGAGAGATTAGCATAGGGTTTGTGTTTTCTTATAGCTTCTGTTTTCTTTCCCTCCAGCACCATCTCCATCAGATACATGACGATTGGAGGTGTTTCAGTGTTTTTGGTCAATAAGATTCTGTAATTAGGCCCATCAT